GGTTTCCTCAAAAGATTCGGATCCCTGGAAAGAATGGAATCGGAAGCTACCGGCAAGAAGCCCGCGCTGCCGCGCTCTGCTCCACGCCTGTCTTCAGCTCGCAGGTCACCGTGTGGCCAATGCCCTCATGCAGCAGCTTCACCTCAACAACCGACCCAGGGAGAGGCTACCTGGATCGCCAGTTGCGATCGTTTCTTCCATGCACTTTTCTCCAAAAAACAGCAACAGCGACTGAAAAAAGCGATCGCAGCCGTTTCTTGGTGGCTGTTGATCCCTCTGCAAAAAGTGAAAAGCTGTTTGCGGCTTTGGTTGGAAACCCTTCATTTCCCAAAAAGCTCGAGTCTAAAGATCCAACCCAAGAGCAGCCAAGGAATGGGATCCTGCAGGGAAACCAAAAGACTCGGAGGCCCTTTTGGATTTTCATGGAAAAAAACAATCGGCATCCTCTCTTTTGGTTGGTTGAGTTTAATGGGAATTCTCACCAAACGAATAAAACAGGGCGGAATCCACCGGGCAATTGGGGGGAGGTTGTAGATACTGGAGTCATGATTCTGAAAGTCTTTATGCAGTTGTCAAAGTTAAAAACATGGGTGTTCCCTTTAACTATGGGGTGAAACACGCACACACACACACACACACACATACAGTTTCTCTCTCTCTCTCTCTCTTTCTCTCTCCCTTCTTATGGGGTGACTTTGACAGACTGTTGACACATGGTAAAATAATCGAGTCAGTATAGGTAGGGGCCTTGTGAAAATCAGGGACCCATGTTGATACTCACTCTCAAAGGCAGCACAAGGCACTAATTTTGACAACCCCCCGCAAGGACCTAAATAACCAGAAGGACACACTCGTTTGCGAGGATGACCTAACACAAAACCAACTTTGGATTGGCAAATTGTGAAATATGATCTTCAAAACAGCACAGTGGGACGATGATCTTCAAAACAGCACAAAACAGGAAACTCTCTTACCCAAGTGTGACCCACGCGATGTGACCCCTTTGAAATCCTTTGACCTGAGATTTTAGCTGGATATTGCGACCCAGAAAGCCTTGCCTCGTCTTGTCTCATTGGGCTGACCCCGGGAAAAAGCCAAGCTGAGGTTGCTCCACATGCATCGAGGTCCCCTTTGTTTTGTGCAGACATGGGCGTCAAACATAGAGAGGCGCACTAGACGTAAGCTTCTCGCCCGACTGGACTTTCGCACTTGCGCGCGTGCCGACTATGCGCAACACCTAGCTGAAAGGTGATGTTGGAAGGAACGCCAGTACGTCAGTACCTGACGGAAAGGAGAAGTTAGAAGGAGGAGGTACTTTCTGTCAGGTACTGACGACGTACATGGGTGAGGATTCCTTCCAACATCACGTGAGTACCTGAGGGAACGCCAATACGTCAGTACCTGTTTCGCACGCGGCGTTTCGCGCGAACTTGGTTTTCGAGGACCCTCCCATCCACACAAACATGGAACCTGAAGTTTCGGGTCCTGGATGGCGAAATCCATTTCGCACCACATTGAAGCCATGGTTGAAACCAGACCGTTTGTTGAGTATTTACCAGGGATTCGTCATTCCCGGGTTTCTTGGGTGCTGTCCCTGGTAGGTCAACATGGCAGCAGCTTGGAAAAAACGGGTCGGAGAAGGGAAACCAAAAGCAACTGGACACAAACGGGTGTCTTTTCGAAGGATTGGGACCCCAACATGTTGTTGTTGTCCTTTCAGGTTTCCTTTTTCAGCCCAAACATGGTACCCGCCAAAAGAAGGAAGCACCCAAACTACCGCGTCCCCAACCAGACCTCATGGTAGCTCCGCAAGGCTCCCCGTTTAGATACGCAGATTTGGATATCAACCCACGGCTAGCAAATGTTGTAAAGGTATGGGTAGTTTGGTCAGCAAAGAAAACCCGAACCACCCTCATGCAGTTTAAAAGAACCAAAGGTTCTCGTCCATCTCCCCTAGTTTGGATTTGTGTCACAATGGGGAGTCACAAAGTGGTGGGTGTGCTATTGGTGTCCGTTTAAACTAACCTAAAATCAGCTTCCCTCTAATTGGCGATTTGGATTGGAATGGTTTCCCATTTACCCTCTACAAGAAACAAGGGTTCAAATCCCCAAACCACCAATCCAAACCTACAATTGAGGGCTGAATAGTGGGTTTATGTTTGCTTCCCTTTAAACCAACCCTTAAAAAGACTATCAAACAAGCACACACCCGTTTGAGCATTGATTTTGGGGGGTCAAAACTGGGGTCATCTCCTCCATAGCTGTCTGTATGTTGGGGTAGACTTATAGAATAACAAACAGGATCTGAACATATTACTTGTTGTGTGCTCGAGAGGGGTGAGTCTTTTTTTGGGGGGAGGGAACTCCCTTTTGGTTCGTTGATTTTTCGGTGCAATCCAACAGACACAGGACAATTCAAAGCCAAACCCTGCCCACATCAAAGCCCCACCCACCCACCCACCCGCCCGCCCGCCCACCCACCCACCCACCCACCCGCCCGGTTGTGTGCAAGCATCACCCAACCGCCCACAAGGTGTTGTTCGACTCCACCAATGGAACTACGGAAAAAGGTGGATACCCTAAATATTGCAAGTGAGGAGACAAGGACTCCTTTGCTCAGTGTAATTCATCATGGTGTTGTGGTCGTGTGCGGCTTACTTGCCACACCTAGGGCATCCACCGTACATTCAGGGAACCCTGCCCAAATGAGCCAAAATCAAGAACCTGGTATTGAAAGGGTCTACCCAGAACCATGTAAACAATTACAAAGGCGGCTGCACCCATTTATGGTTGGGATCATCTTTTCTTCACAGCCCTTGGTATGATAGCACAAAGCTTTGTTCATTGCAGCCCCCAAATCTAAAAATGAACAGAAACAAAGAACTCAAAGATACACTTGCCAAGAACAGTGAAGTAACCTTCATCTGATTAAAAAAAAAAAAACACAATCAACTTGCCAAGAACAGCGAAGTAACCTACCCGGTTTTTATTGTGGCTCAACTGATTTCGCTTGCCGGGCGGCGGGGATTCCTAGGCCAGCCATCTTGGGCACGAGTCGCGCCTTCGCTCTCTGAGCAGCTCGTCCGGGGCGGAGCGGCGGAGCAATGAAAGAATTTCCCAAAGTCCGTCCCCAACATATTCCTTCATGTGAGCTAGAATCAGCACCTGGTATTCCATTGGTTAACCCCAAATCATGTAAAGAACTAAGAAGGCGGCCGAAACTATTTGTGGTTGGGACTATCCCTTACTAACCTTCGCTTGCCCGGGTTTTGATTGCGACTCTTGTGCAGAAGCTCTGAAAAAAGTAACGTATTCATCCACTGGGGTGCCGTAGATCCCCGGCAACAAAAACTAGCAGGCTAAAAGGAAACATGAGAATTCAAAAAAGTTAGTATCTAAAATTCCAACCCGACAGCAGTAGAGTCCAACAGTGACCAATCCCCTTTGAAAGCCACGAGGGAAAACTACACAAAATGTCCGAAACGCACTTGGAAGATATTAGCTGCAGCCAGTGATTTCAAAGGTAGAAAAATGATATCCTTCGGTTGATCAGTTCTTGAATGCGCCCCAACCAAACGGGTGCTCAAGAACTGAGACATGGTGACTGGATTTCTCCCCTCAAAGGCTGATCAGGTTACTGACGGTGTCCAACTAAACTGGCACTTTTTGGAACCTCGAAATGGAGGAAATCTTGATGGTTGTGGGGGAAAGACTTTCTCTGACCTCCGCCCAACAATCATGGAAGCTGAGAAAAGGGTGTTAGGCGGGCTGGCCTACATGATTCAATGATGGCTTTCGCTCTGGGTTCCCTTCAAACCAAGCTGAAAGGGAACAAACTCCAAAACACACACACACACACTCATTTGAGTTGTGGGAGTATCGATGACTCGCAAAACAATTGTCGTCTGCGTTTGCTTTCCTCTTCCAAGGTATATTGCAGGTCTACATCAATTACGAGAAACACCACATAACGCAGCACATGACAATAAACCTTGCAAGCAACTTGCGCAAACGCGCTCTAGCGGTGTCTAGAAGGCATGCTTGTGCTTGCCGTATCAGGGCTCCCTTAAACTTCCATTTCTTTAAGCCCCCTGGAAAACAATGGACATATTTCCAGTGGTAGATTCCCTCTAAAAACCCACCCGGTTTGAAAACAAAAAACCCAAAAATATCCTTTTCAGCCAACGGATTTGTTTGCAAAGCTGACGGCCTCGCCGTGTTTTTGAAGCCACCGGATTCATTCGCTTCGTTTCTGCAAGCTCCCAGAGGCCACGGCAGGTGTGGCCATAGGTGTTGTGTTGAAGATTGATTGGTTTTCCTTTGCCATGGGCGGATTTTCCAAAGGGCTACCCAAGACATCCATTTCAATCAACCAGTCTTTGTCTCGAAACCAAACCGTTGGCCTAATGGTGGGGCAGTTCCTTTGTCATGGGTGACGCTGTCCTTTGAGTTGTGAAACGGCGTCCTTTGTTGCTTGTGGCTTCCCTTGTGTTTCTCAACCACTGCCTAAAAATGGTGTTTTCCCCGTTAAATACCTGCAACAACAAGGGTCTAGCAATTTGAGAAACACACAAGCACATCGGTGACAGTATGGAAAAATGGATGGTCCTGGTACATGGGGCATGAAACCAATCAAAACCAGTGGAACCCATCTATTCTAGCAAGTCTGCGGTACTGTTCGCACGTTCTCGCATGCGAGTAGCTGAGGTTGACACGCAGCACATATCTAGGCGGTTTCTGAAACTCTAACTACCGGCTCTCTATTTTGGGGGATGGCATTGAAGGGAAATGAACGCAGCCAAAGATGGCGCCTCTTCGAAAAATGCTCCCCGCGTGTTGGTCATGTGCTTGTCTGGCCTGGAGTTTGTTACACACCGGCCAGATTCAAACACCACCAACGAGTGAGAAAAGCTGAATACTGGAGCCTGGCGAAGAGTTGTTTGATGCCGATGCTGGAAAAGCACTGACCTGCTGCATTTGGCTGACCCTCGCCCCCTTTTGATGCTCCACAGCTCCAACCTTCACTGCATTTGGCTGACCCTCGCCCCGGCCAGGGCGTTCAGCATGTTCAACCAAGCAAATCTCACCGGCCCGACACGCTATACAAAGAACCCAACCAGCTTGCGGCTCAAAATCGCCCCTCATCTCCAGGAGGCGCGCCCATGTTGCCAGCACTTTCTCAACGTCTTCCTGATCAGTGCAGCACAGCACGTTGCCATGACACTTCTAGACCGCGTCTGTTCTACGAGGACGGGGGCTGGTGGCAATCAAGGGAGTCTCTTCGGGTTCCAGTCAGAGGCCATTGGCAATGACTTCGAGGTCAAACTCCAGCGTTGCAACTCGACGATCCTCAAAGCAGGTCGCGGCTCCGACCCGTGAGTGCGGCATGCCGAGGGGAGTAGAGGTGGGCCCAAAAGCGCTGATCTCACGAACACGGCTGCTTCGACTGACTGCTCGTCAGAAGAGTCCACTCCGATCATGTCAAACTTGGCCAGGCTTTTCTGACACGCCGATCATGTCCGTGTCATTTGGGGGCCGCACAGCCCTCGCGCTTCTGAGAGCTTCCTATTGCAATTTCTCCTTGAGAGGCTACTCGAATCCACCACATCTGCTTTGCGCCCCCTATCGCTTGGGCCGTCTCATCGAAAGGGCAAGGGCTGGGGCCCCAGTGATCTTCACCAAGCTGCTCAGCTTGGCTCCCGAGAGGGTCGATTTCTTGCCCCATCCACTGCCGGGAGAAAGAAGTTGCCCTTCAGTTGCTCAATTGATTGACCAACACCGCAGCAACCAGAAGCAGCCAGAGCTTGTTTGCACACTCGGAAAAACAAAAAAGCGCAATTGCCATCTTCCATCCTCCAGATTCGCAAGTCTCCTTCCTGCGGTTTCGGTTTCGGTTCTTCACTCGAGGACAGTCGCCCCCCCCCCGACACCGCGACACCGGCGCGCCACCCGTCACCCGGCCAGGCGGTGCTCGCGGCGCCGAGCGCCGAGTTGAGCGGAGCGGAGCAGAGCTTGGGCTCCGAAACTTCACTCGAAGCCCAGGTCTTGCGGCAAGGTCAGGGGCAGCAGGTTCAGCTGCCTGGGAAGCGAGAGGAGCAGCAGGGGTGTCAAGATTATTTTTTGGGGGGGGAGCTCACCCGCAGACGAACTGGCATAAAACCCAGAAGAAGGGGTCGACTCCTTGTTGGTTGGAATGGCAAAGGAAAGCTGCATCCCAAAAAGGATGGTCCGGAAGATGCTTTCCACGACTATCCATTTTTGCACCTCCCCCGCCGTAGGGGGAGTGGGGACCGGTCCCCCAAAAATGTGGTTCTTGTCCCCACGAAAGCGAAAGCGGAAATGGAACATCACAAACCCCCAGTGGCCAAACTGGGAGAGGGCACTTTGAGGTGAGTTTTTGTCGGGTGAATTTCACAGAAACTACGGGCCTTGATGATTCTGTGACTCATATCGAGTCTACCCCAACTAAATGAAAACACAGACTAAACCCTGTGGGTCCATATCCTAGCTGGTTTCATTTGCACCCATACCCCTCTCATCAAAATCCGGTTCAGAGATAACGGGCTGTCCTGGATTCTCCAGCTAAAAGGTTTAACTGTTACTGGGCCAAATGGGCTACGCAGGTTTTGGTCCATATTTCCACTTACCAGGGTTCCATTTTGGTACCGGCTTTTTGAGCCACAGCCAAGTGGAAATCCCCACCAAACCAACTAAACGCCTCAAAAGCCAAGCAACTGCATGGCTGGAAACCACCACTTCACAACCCTTGGTTCGGTAGCAAACAACTTTGCCCTCTTTTTGCAGCCACCAACATCCAAAATGAACAGAGCCAAACAAGAAGAAAAAAAACAGAGTTGGTCCAAGAACAACATCTTTAAACAATGAAACAAATGCAAAACAAAACGACTTGAACACCAAGACCAGTGAAGACCAAGTAGATTTCTGGGGCTCGGCTCTGGGCGGCAATGGGCCCCGCCTGTGCAGAGCGCCGCCCGGCTCCAGGCCGGTTCCGGCCTCCGCCTCCGAGCCTGGCGGCCGAGCTGCGCGGGGCCCCGGCGCCGAGCGGCGCGGGGAATGTGGTTGGGCCTAGGTCGATTCAACATGGAAATCTTCCATTTGCTTAAGACCCCTGGAAAAAGAAAGATATTTCCAGCAGTGATAATTCCGATAAAAACCAACAAGGGAAAATAAAAATATTCCCTTCAGCAAATGGAAGAAAGAGCTCCACCTAAATGGCTCTGGGTCAAAAAGGGACCCAAAATGGCTTGCCAGGGCAAATAGAACCAAGGACTAAAACCTGCGGTTTTGTGGTGGTTTAATTTTGACCCATAGGCTCTGGGTCAAACCCAATGGGATCCCGTTTTGGAGGTTTTCGGCGCACCACCCATTCTAGAACCTATTTTAGTGATTGGATTGGGATGTTCACTAGGGGTACGATTTGGATTTTGACCCATGGCCAAATGGGTTTCGCACTGCGCAAGAAGCCCGGGTTGCTTAAGAATTCCCCCTGAAAATGCCAACGAACAGTCTGGTTTCAACCATGGTTTCAATCTGGTCCATCCACGGTAGGTGTCCTTTTTGGGTTAGTTTGGTTAGAAGTTTTTGTCGGGTTCTACTGCTTTAGATCGCGTTTGCAGGGATCCTTACATTATACACCTGAACATTGCAACTTGTAAATGGTGGTTTCCAACTTTATTTTGGTGTCGAAAAAGCAACAGGTGTCAAATGGTTGCAAAATGGAGATCTCCCATAAGGTTCAAAGGGGGATTGCCAGACCTGTGTCCCGGCCTGGACCTGCTGTAGCTCCCTTCCGGCTCCCTCCCAAGCAGCTTGGCCAAGCGCAACAGCTAGGCGTTGGCCACTTTTCTCCATTACGGCTAAGCGATTGGGCCGGAATCCAAGGAAATGCAGGGGAATCAGAAACCAGGTTTCTTAGTAGGTTCAGATTTCGGCCATCCACAGTAGGGCGCAAACAAATCGAACGGGGTTGGCTACCTTGACGTGAGCATTGCATTCAGACATGCCAACGAGTACTAAGATCCAAACCTCAACAATTCTAAACTCTGACGCGGGCCTCGGGACCCTTGGTTAGAGCAGCGCGTTCGGCAGAACAACTTTCCTGCACAGCAAATCAGTTGACTGTCAATGCCGGCCCCAGCTCAAACTTTATCTAATTGCCGAAAGCGTCCTGAATCGAGAGCGGCCGCATACACCCCACACTCAAGACCCATTTGTTTCAGGCTATGATGCCAAGATATTTTCTTAGCCTTTACTCAAAAGGTTTACGTGGAAAATTGGGCTTCAACAAATATCCGGAAAAAAAAAAAAAAAAAAAAAAAAAAAAAAAAAAAAAAAAAAAAAAACCGACGGGTGTTTGGAGGGGGATAAAACCCCGAGGAAGCCGTATCGACTGTGAGCCGGAGGCCTGCGGCAGCCGCATCCACATCCAGGAAAAGCCTCCGATTCAACGGCGCTGTCCGTTTCCAGATCCTCTGCCGACAAGCGGCATCTTTTTAGTGGGTGAAATACGGAAACCCAACCACCAAACCCAAAACAACAAACAACTACTGAAAACGTTTCAAAGCGTCAAGGGGCAAATGTTAGTTGTCCAAATTAAACCTACGTGGAGCCCCAAAAGCATGTTTTTTTGTCAAAAGGGTTTGCTTTAAAGAAAAAGTCGTACGGCCAAAAAGGCCCCGGTTCTTCGCTTTCTTCCCAATACCGGCTTTGTACGGCCGGCCAACCACGGGCAAATAGGGCACATGACCGCTACAAAAAAGCGGCCGTGCGGAGCATGCCTTTGGACAAAAGGTGGGCCTTTTGGGGCTGGTTGAAAGGTCCAGCGATTGATTGTTGGCCTTTGGGAAGCGGAGCCCAGTGAAAGTTGTGTCTGGGTTGCTTCGCTTTGAACCGTGTTCAGTAGTTTTTGGCCGTACGACTTTTTGTTTAAAGCTTTTGACAAAAAAAGCAGCCTTTTGGGGCTCCACGTAGGTTTAATTTGGACAACTAACATTTGCCCCTTGAGGGATGATGTCAGAAACAAGTCCCAAAACTGGCCCCCGAAGTTCCAACAACATCAAGACCTCCCAGAAAACACCAGCCGCCATGACCTTGTGTTTGTTAATGCTGGGTTCAACTGGGTTGTTCAAAAAAAGATGGATGGACAATGTCCCATTTCCTGTTGTTGCAGAGTAAAGGACACGTTTGCTTCACGGCTGATTACGTAGCGCCCTGTCAGCCCTCACCCATCATCGCTTGCGCTTCGTCGAAGCTTCCGCCTAGAAGGGCCGTCACGTCTGGTTGGGGGCCTTGCCTTGCGAGACGCATGCTTCGCAGTCCGTGCGGGTCGTGTCCAGCTAAGGCCGCAGGTCAACAGATGTTGGACACGCGGTGCGGGCGTGAACAGGCAGTGTCCTTCAACGACCCATTGGCCCGGCTGGCACGGGCTTGCACGTTTTCGCTGGCGGAAGCACTCTTGGTTTGCGATGGTGGCGCCCCTGTCCGCCATCCTTTCGCTCTCCCCAGGACCTTGCGGAATGCAAGCCTTCGTGAGACATCCACTGATTTGCCACAACGAAAAAGTGTCAGTCATAATCTGCATCGATGAATCATTAGCATATATATATATATATATGTGAGGAACATCCAAAGGACACCCTTGCCATGTTTGGGGGTACCCCAACAAACCATCTCTTTCTCTAGCCTCGGAAAACAGGATGGCTATAGGCGGGTGGTCATCTCTCCCTTAACCGCTTCTAGACGAGCTAAACCTTAGCATCTTCTATACGGGTACTTTTGGACGGGTTTTGGGCCAAACCAAAAGGGAAACCCTGGCCATTCTGGGGGGGTACCCCTACATATGAGTGAGATTGTAAAACCTGGTATTAAAGTGGTCCACCAACTACCCCCTACTCAGAATGCCCGCCTGTTTCAAGGTATTTTTGGGAAAACCTGGTTTTCCATGGTAAACACCTGCTTGTTTTTAGTAGAGGGTCGACATGATACCTACTGAAAAAAGGCCGGGTATTTGGAGACCCAGAACCATGAATATAATTAAGAAGGCGGAATTCCGCAACCATTTATGGTTGGGACTGTCCCTTACTAACCTTCACTTGCCCGGGTTTTGATATTGACTCATATGATACATATGGGCAATGAGGCGCGTGATCCAAGGGGCTGCACTGTGGCCGGCAACTCCGGCGACGGCAGCAGCACCCGGCACCTGCACTTCGCTTTTGGCGCTCGCTTGGGGGGTAGAAACAAACAAACACAAAAAGTACTTATGTGAATTGCAATTAAACCACAACAAATGTGATTGTGTGTGTGCAAAGTTTGCATTTTGAGAACTCATGGTTTGGTCACTGTTTCCTTGGGATTCCAAGTGAAAGCTTGGAGTGGGTTTTGCAAGCACCCTAGGTTTTGCTTAGGGTCTTGGCGATGCAAAACAGCCTTCAAACATCCGTGAGGGTGGGACAAGGTTGACACAGGCGTTGTCACCCGCTGGTGCATAAACAGCGAGCGCAAGCCATTTTCAAGGAGTCTCTTCACTAACCCCTCTGAATCAGAGTGTGAAACGAGCTTTACCAAGAAAGTGAACAAACAGAGACAGGGGTTTGTGTCAACATAGGAAACCCTTAAAACCGCCAAAAAAAAAGTTCCCTGCAAAACAGGAACCTACCAAGCAATACAAGATAAGGGCAGGCAGCATCCCCGGCATTTTCTGGAACCCCGGGCTTGATGCTGCCCTCGCCATGCACACGGACCAGCGCCTGATCCTTCTCCATGAACCAGAAACATCTTCGTCCATTCCTTGGACAAGAGCTTCTTTGCAACGAAGTACCCCGTTGCGAGCCTCTTGCTCTTCTCGGTCTTCGTCGGCGCCACCCCCGCAGGCACAAATTCAAAGGTGTCGTGCTTGCGGCTGAAGCGGAGTGGATCTTAGGAATTCATTGAATCTCCATGCAAAGATAGTCTCGGACAAACAGTGCTGATTGTCAGAATTGCCATAATCGTGCCACCTGAAAAGGGCAGGTCTCCGGCACATTTCTGCCAGAACCCTGACGGAACCCGAAAGCTGCTCCACACCACCCCAGAGCATATCTGGCCAAAGACCCCATAGCTTTCAGCCGCTGGGGAAAAAAAAAGGCACGGGTGAGGGCTCACCTGCTGCCCGGAACTTTCTCCATTCCCGCCCAGCATTACTCGGTTGCTTTCTGCTCCCCTGCTAAAAGTTTGACCTGTAGCGGTTTAGTGGAAAACCCATTAGTTGGCAAACAGTTGTTAAAAGTCCTAACATCCAACGCCTAGAACATCGTCACCCATTCCTGCCCCTTTTTGCGCGAGGATCATAATCGGTGCTGTTGAAATTCTCCCCCCTGGGAGTTTGCGAACATGGTTCAGTTTCCCTTTGAGACCAATCGAGAAAATACAACATATGTTCAGCAATGGAAGTGAAGGGAAATCCCTCAAAAACTTTGGATGCATCGCTTTGGAGGGGGAGTCCCCCTCATTCGTAATTGCGGGTTCCCACTCGTTGCTTTCGAAGGGAAACCCCAAAGGCACAAGGAAAGCCACCCACAAGGTTCCTTCGAATTGGTGGTTTGGAGCCGAATCGGTGGTTTGGTGGTGAGGGGCGGTTTCCCATCTGCCCGTTCAAATCCCCAAGCCGGCAATCCAAACTACAAACTGAGAGCAACCTGACCACTGGTCTGCGTTGCTACGTCGATCCCCAATGGCCCTTTTAAAGAAACATCGTCTTCCTGCACCCCTCCTTGACTAGTTTTGCCGAGCTCCGTCACGACATTTTGATGTAGTGAATGTCCGGACTCCGCTGCTCACTGTGTTTGCGCAAGATCATATTCTATCATCATGTTGGTTGATCTGTGTCAGAACCAGCAGGCAATGTTCAGTACCATGTTCGAGCACAGGACAACTCCCTTTTAAAACCTGGCAGATGTGGGTAGAAAGTGCTAAAGGCGGCTAACGCCTTTTCCTTCCATCTACTGTCTGCGTCAGCGCATATGACTCAAGGCCTGCAAGAGGCGACATGCCAAACCCATAACGGTGGTTTACATGCTTTCAGCCCCCAAAACTGAAGTGGGTTTGGCCGTCGTCTTGCGGCGGTGAAGTCCTTGTCGGCCTTGTGCCAGGACTTCTTCTTCTTTCTCGAGGCGCCACGTGTTAGTGGCCAAAAGCCTCATCATGGGCTCTTCGTGTGCCCCGCTGACCTTTGTCAGCATATCTGCCGGGTTCTCGTTATGAGGAACCCATCTAATGCGGCCTCTCACTTTGCTGAGCGACTCCTTGATCAGCGCGACCTCCAAGGCAGCTCGATCATCTTCTCCTTGCGCTTGCTCATTCTTGACCGAGTCAAAGACTGACTTGGCATCGATGACCGCGATCATGGCGGGGTCCTGGAATGTAGGATTCTCCGAAGCGATCACCGATGCTTCGCCTTGCAATCCTCCGTCGTCCTCAATCTCCAAACGGTGCCTTGGGCTGTACCGGGAGAACCTTAGCGACTCCAGCATTGCCACCTGCTTCTCCATGGATCCAAGCGCGGTGGACATGCTGATGGCCTCGCACAGGTTCGTAGATCCGGCCTTTCGGCGAAGCTTCCGGGATCTCCAAGTGATCAGAGACACCGGAGCGGTCTTGCCGAGGTTGAGCTGGTCTGTGGTGGTGGCTTGCAGCCACCCATGCTGTGGCTTTGACTTGCCACTCGGGTCGAAGGAGCTGTCGGCGATCAGCAAATGCCGCAAATCCTCCTCCGGGAAGCTGTGGATCTTGAGCTGGATGTGGTGGCCCTTGATCTTGGCCACGACGCGGTTGGCCTCCATGGCATCGGCGACCGAAGGCGTCGGAAAACATCCAGCCAAAATGCTGGCTGCTGCTGAGGCGTCAGGACGTCCCTCACGAGCAACCCAGTTGATGCTGGCCAGAGTCCCTCTGAGCTGAGAGACCTCTTCTGCGGATAGCGTCTTATCCTTGGCCTGGCACTTCAAGGTCTTGGCCTCAAGACGGACGGGTTTCAAGCGGCTCTGGATGTAGTCCTGCATCGTGATGCTGAAGGAAAAATCCGCCTCTTGCCAAACTCGCCGTCCAGCAAACCCAGTGCCAGCTGCATCACTCTGCAACTCCACGGCTTTCCCGAACTTGAGCATTGACTCCAGGGCACTCATCCTGCGCTGATGTTCTTTGTTGCCTGCCTCGAGCACGTCGTCCACTTCGATGACGATCATCCCCTGCGTGGCTGCGTTAGTCTCCCGGCTCTCTGAGTCCAGGGTCAGCACACAGCGATCAAAGCAGTTGATGCGGTATCCGAGCTGCTTGACCAGGATCTCCAGGAAACTGCGTCTCCACCAGGCTGGCCCGCTGACAAGCCCGTACACTTCCGTGTTGAGCATGATCAGCTGGTCCTCGCGGTAGCCCTCGAAGGCTTCGTCTCGTGGCATTCTGCATGCCAGCTTCCGCGACCGGGTGGTCGGCTTGCTCTGCAAGAATGCAGTTTTCGCGTCCTTCACTCTGGCAGGCCATTTTCTGCAGGCTGCCAGTTGAAAGAACAGGTGCATGCTCGAGGTCAGAGGTGTCGGAGCGGCGCGCTCGATGTGGTGGATCATTGGATCTTGCCACCCCACCACACACCATCGGGACTTCGCTGACAGACCCTCGTGCTTGGCTGGCTCGAAGCCTTCCATGTCGAACTCCTCCGGCAGCACCGCAAACTTGCCAGATGGTTTCCATCGGTCCACGTAGCGAGAGTCCAGGATGCCCTTGGGGTAGTCCCTGCGGAAGTTGCGGGACTCGTCCGGAGAGTGATGGCGCCGGTCTCTAAAAGAGAATTCACCTCTTTGGCCCTAGCCGCTCGAAAGATCTTCAGGTGTTCTTCCGAGAGCTTGTTGAAGACTACCTGTCCAGGCGAAGTCTTCGCTTTAGTCAAGTATATGCAGCGGTCCTTGTAGCTGTACGAGCCCTCCGCCTCGTTCAGGGTGAAGCACTTGTCATCGAGTGGCGCGATGCCGCTTCGTTGAGTCCGGCGATCGGTCCACCAGGCTGCTCCATCTCCGTCACCGCTCCATTTGGTGAACTTGGGCTTCGGCTCGTCGAAGGACACTGCTTCCATGAAGAACGATCGTGACGTGGGTGATGGCCAGGGAGTAGGTGATGCCGAAGAGAACGGGTATGGCATCGGTCTCGATGCCGAATCCTGCGCCCTCACCGGTCCAAATTCTATTCGGTTTTCACGACCTTCATCCACTCGGACAGATGTCCGTCGGCTCTCGTTTGCCGTGTTGATGCCTGTGGACTCGGGTGCCACAGATGGTGCTCTAGTGCTGTTGTCGCCTAGGCTGGTGGGATCCTCCTCCATAGTGATGTCTCCAGCCTCAGGTCGATTAGCACCAGTGGGGGCACCATCCAAGTGCTCGGGCGTGTACTCGTCATCGTCGATCTCCATGTCTCGATTGGCAACTCCAGGTTGTGGTGCTTGAGGTTCTGGCGTTGGTGGTGGTTCGGCAGAAACTTCTTGCTTACCATCCTCATCCAAGGCTCCCAGGTCCGAGATGGTAACCTGCCACTGTTCTTCCTCCCCAGGGCCACCCTCCGACTCGATGTCGTGATAGTGCCTGACCTTGCCCTGGTGGATATCGTCCACCATTTCCTTGGAGAGCTCCCGGATGAGTTCGGCTCCAAGATGTTCTTCCGAAGTAGCATTTCGAACTTGTTCTCGAGAAGCTTTGATGAGGTGGTTCCGGAGGCTGATCCACAAAGACTTGCCGTTGGCATTCTCGGCGATGATGACTCCAGGGCCACTCCATCCCTTGTACTTCTCGGTGTCCCGCCACACGTAGACCCAGTCTCCCACCTCCAAGGGCTTCTGGTCCGCGTTTCGGGTCTTCTTCCTCACGGAGTTTCTGATCATCTCGGAGTCCCGCTGCTTCATCCATGCTGCGGCAGCGGCATCTCTGATTTGCCAGGCTCTCTTCATCGACTCCGTGGCACTCTCCTGCACCAGCATCGGATTCAAGACATCGTCCGAGGCCAGGCTAGCAGGCAACCTGGGAGTGTACCCAAAGGCTGCTCGATTGAAAAAAATCAATAGATCGATTGAAAAAAGACAAATTCAATATTCGATTGAATTTCAGAAAAAATCAATAGAGGTCAGAAAAAAGTTCAGAGCAGATATAGAGATTCTATTGATTTCCCTATTGAATTTTCGATTGA